CTGAAGCCTCGAAGCTGCTTCATTCCTACAGATGTACAAACACGATGAGGTCGGGGAGGTCGGCGGGAGCTTTTAGCACATTATCACTTCACTGACAATTATCGCGTGATATTTGGCCTTCAGGGATAAATTAAATCAGAGCTTTGCGCCACATTAGGGCTGTAAAGTGCCGACTCTGATGCACAAACACAGCCAACTTCAATACTGCTTGAAATTTGAAAACGAGTAAATAAAAGTGACACAGCTATCAAAAAACTCAAGGCTCAGCCTACGTTACATTCTGATATTAACAAAATCTGATTTTTTTTTCCTGCCCCTAAATTCTTGCATTAATCAGATCTAAGCAATTTCCACAAGTGGCTTTAGTTCATTGGATTAACCGGCTATGTGACCACGGTCACCTCACATGTTTATGATTTAACTGTTGTGTTATTTTTGTACACTTGCAGCGAAAGTTTCAGTGTCATTCAGAACACTTCGCAGTTTAAAACGAGGACTTTAAATGGCAATTTATTAATCTCAATTTGTTGTTTGGTCTACAAAATGTCTGAAAATGGCCGAAAAACACAACAGAGCTGTCTGAGGAGCTCAGATTCAGCTGCATTCATTTTTTTATACCCCTCGTTCAAGAGCTGAAAGAGTTAGTCAATATATGAGCTGACAGAAAGAAAAATATTCTGCAACACTTTCTGTAGTGAACAAGTGTTAGGAGTCAAAAAGAAACTTTCTGACTTCAGATTCTCTTTTTTAATATAATTTTATTTTTATATCATTTTCTTGATTCGCTGTGCTATGGTCTATAACAGGGGTATTCGAATAAAAGTCACCAAGGTCCAGTGACTAAAATTTCCTCCAAGTAAAAGGTCCAAACCGAAATCCAGTTTGTGTCTTATAGCCTTCCCCTATGGCCACATTTTCATGGTTCTAACAATACTTATTGTCAATTTTTAATTCAGGATATGTTTAACTGAGAGCACACCTAGCTCTTTTACCATATATAGCAGTCCCAGGCAAATAAATTTAAGGCCTTTATTTCAGATTAGAGAAAAAAAAAACCTCAGAATAAAATACTTTTTTTTTAAAAATCCAAATAACCCTTTTATCTCTTAAATTAAAGAGGTCCCAGCCTAAAGAACTGAAGTTTTCCAATTCAAGTAAAAGTTAACATCCTCAGAAAACAATAAATAAAAGGTTTGGTTTGCACGTTGCTGTGCTGTAAATGTGATGACGAGTCGGATAGATCTGTCATACTCGGCTTGCAGCTCAGTTATTTTGCGTGCCCTCAGCTCGGACTTCAGGGTATAACTTTGCTCTAAAGAGCTGTGCTTTATTTTGTAGTGGCGCTTCACGGTGTTACTTTTAATTAATGCCACGTTTTCAGAGCATATGAGGCAAACTGGTTGTGAACTGCCTGACGGAAGAATGAACATACATTTAACTGTCCACTCATCTTCAAAGCAGCGGGTTTCCTCATCAACCTTCTTTCTTTTCTTTTTTTTTAAAGCAAGTCATGCTGTCATCACTGTCTCTTCCTCTGTGCTCTGCTGTATAGGCAAGCGGCAGTGAGCTGTGGCGGTGCGCTGGCAGTGCAGGGTAACCAAACGATTTGATTGGCTCGACTGAGTGGTGCTATTGCCATATTAACTGGAGTAGCAGCGCCCGCTGTCAATAGCCGCGACCGTCGGAAAAAAAAATGCTCCATGAAAATCTATTCTCATGAATTTATCAGAGATTGGTCACGGGTCCGAACAGAACCATCACTCGGTCCAGAACCGGACCAAGGTCCGCCATTTGGTGATGCCTGGTCTATAAAATGCCAGAAAATAGTGAAAAATGTCAGCATTTCAAAGAACCAAAGATGACAAATGTCTTGAAGCCCACAGATATTAAGTCTACCGTCATAGAGAAGGAAAGAAACCAGAAAATATTCATAGTTAAGAAACTTCAATCAGAAGACTTAGACTTTTTTTTTTTAATCACTCAAACCGATTGATTATTCTAAATAGTTGGCGATTCATTTAACTGTTGATAACTAATTGACCACCACACCATAACCAGATACTTGCACGATTCACAAACATGAGTGTGAAGCACCAACACAAAAACACCAGATCTGACAGAAGTCCTTAACTTTTGTGGAAAAAGCAAAACCACAGACAGAAGTAGAGAGAACTTGTTTGTACAAAATGCTGCCACAGCAACAACTTCTTTGACACGCTGGCTAGTTTGGAGTTCAGCTAACTTTAAGTAAGTTAAACCTGCAGTCTCCATAAGATTGGGCCAGTTTAAGTTCATTGAAACACATTTAGTCTGTTTATCTGCCGACAAAAATAATTGAATAATCCTGGAAAGTTGCTGGTGTGCCGTCACCAACCGAAAGAAAAAAAGCAGTCACGACAAGAAGCTGGTTATGAACTTGGTTAGTCAACCCAGAGGTTCTGAATCTATCTCTAGAGGTGAAGCTAGCAGCAGATGACCAACCACAAACATGTAATTCAAATCGATAAGTAGACTTACTACAAATTTTATACGGTCAACAGTCAGGCTATACAGCTTTCGTGTTTTTATCAGTTTCTCTTAGGATAATTTTGCTTTACAAAGTAAAAAAAAAAACAATAAAATGGCTTTGAAACTGTTTGTAGCACAAAAACCTTTTTTCTTTTACCGAACTCGGAAGCGTTTTTATTTGCACTGATCTGGAACATATTTGCTCCGGGGCACGTTAAAGTTGCAGCATCAGTTACCATGAAGACAAGCCACCGTCGTACCAAAAACCAAAAGTTAAACCTGAAACTACCTCGATAACTTCAAATCCATCTTGTTAGTACAGAACTCTGGACACCACAATAACACCTGAGTGGTTTACATGGTACCATTGTTGCCTGCATCACCTGAAACACTGAGCACCTCGTTACTTCTTTTCAGTGGTTTGTTCAGAGGAAGATTCTTAACAATTTTCTTAATCAATAGCTCGCAGCGTTATCAATCAACTTTTAACTAACCTTGACAGTATATTGATAACAGTAGATATTAATCTAAATGCTGATATAGCTATTTTGAACCACAGTTATGGTACCGCCTCTTGGGGTTGCTGCAGTATTAGACAGTGAGAGGCTCCACCTGGTGGATCAACCAGGTACTACAGCTGATCTACAAGACATTTTCTGTCATGCATGACCTTCTCCTCTACCTTATTGGTTAATATATTTTTAATCAGTTAAATAATAGACAGCAATTCGTCAAATAACTATTAACAGCTGACATTACTGTGTTAAGTTAAAAGTTTCTGGGTTAAAAGAGTGAATAAAATAGTGAAATGTAACTTCTGAGAACAACAACCTGTGCCCAGTTTTTTACACTGAATCAGACACCCTCTGAGAAAAGACTGGACACAAAATAAATAATTTTTTCAGCTTTAAATATCTTTTTAATATCTCGAGTCACTGTCAATCTGTACATCAATGCAAAACTAAGGTTTGAAAATTAAGCTCCTCGGACTGATGCTCTTGCATGAACACATTATGCGTAAAGACATTCCATATTTAAAAAACATTGCCTCTATAATGAATACAAGCCTCACTGCCAAATAATCAAACTGTAAATATGTAACCTACTCTTGCCTTTTGTCAATTTGCCGCGCTGCTACCCAGCCACTAACACATCCATAACACAAATTGATCCCTACTTTCTTCATGCTGAAGGAAACACTGGTCCTGAAGCCAAATGCTGTTTTACTTACTTACTGTAAATAGATGCGATAAGCAGAGACTGTTAGCAGCACTTCAGTTTAAAAGATAAAAATAAAAAACACATCTTTTCAAATATAAGGAACTGACAAAACACGTTATCCCAAGCATCACCACTGATTTTTTTATTTTTTATTTTTTTAAATCACTGATGGTTTGGTAGAAGGACACAATTTCCAACTTTTACAGTCAGAAAATTCATTACCTTGTTTCCTTAGTTTTTGTTGAGTTTTTTGGGGGGTTTTTTTGCTCCTGCCCCATTTTTTGCCCCCTCACTGTGGCTCATTTTTTTCCTGAAATACAATGTCCTGCACCTCTATGGAAACAGAAGAAACATAAAGCAGGAGAGCAAACTCGGAAATGTGTAATGTGCAGTTCAACACAGCTCGAATGCAAAGTTAGAAATCACACTACTCTGCCCATCAGCTGTAGGAAGATGTCTCACCATGCTGAATGTATTTTCCAACAACTCGTTTCCCTGTTCACTGTTTCTGAGCCATGCTGCATTTATTTTACTGATCAAGTTGGTTTTCTTTTTCTCTCAACACTGCCTGCAGTTCACCTGGAGATTCTTAGAATTTTTGACTGTGGGTCACAATAGAGTCAGTCATGGCTTCCCAGTTGTGTTTAGGAGCACAGGACTTTTTCTTTTTTTTTTAACAGAATCTGGGGCAAATCCATTTTTTTAGGAATTGTGATGAATGCAACTTTTCATTATAATAAAATATCAAGATTTTAAGCATAGATTTGTTTTTTTTGCTCAAAAGTGTACATTACACATGACACATTCAAGAACTGTCATTTGTGCTATTGTTGTTGTTGTCTTAAATAATCAGAGAAATTCAATATTTTTCAGTCACACTGTGTCATACTGGACAGAAGACATTTCTGAGTTCTCTGTCCTTCGTGGTTGTTCTGTTTCCACAGATGTGCAGAACTTTTGAAAAATGAGCCACTATGAGGAAAACTGTGACAGGAGCGAAAAAATTAACAAACTGATTTGAGTTAAGATGGATAGTTTACATTTTGCTAAACCACTTCTGCAAATTAGACATATTCTTATTCATGTAAAAGCTTTTTTTACACCCATCAGTTTAATGTAAAAACATTTCTTTATTATTTTAATTGACAATCTAAGAAAAGTTTTCCAGAATTTCTGAACTTTCAGAACTTTCCACGGCTACAGAACTGCCTGCAGATTATGTCCAGGATGTGAGTTAAGCTGTGTGTTTTGGATCGGAGATGCGACTGTACCTATGAGCGCCTGGAAGAGGTTGCTCTGGAAGATGTCGATGACCCTCTGGATGGAGTGTCGGAGCTGCCGGTCCTCTGCGTGGTTCAGCTTGGCCCGGTACTCCTCCAGCAGCAGCAGAGCTCGCTGTGCATCTAGTCGACAGGAAGAGGAAGCAGCAGCAAAGGTAAGTCTGAGATACGACTGATCCAAACTGATCTGCAGCTGCTTTTCTGCAGCAGTAATCTCTGTCCTGAAATACTGGCTGCGTGCAGAGAGTAAAATAATACCGCAAACCTCTAAATGTAAACACATTCAAGGCCGTGTGCAGATTTTAAGTCAGTGTAAATAAAGTTGGGCTGATTTAAAAAGAGCCTTTTCCCCAACAAACAAGTATGAAGGTCAGTGTATCAGCACAGAGGGACGCATAATGTCAGATTTACATTTATGGGTCATCAAAATGTCCAATTCTGCTCTTGAAATGACAGATTATCACTAAATCAAAACAAAAAAAATCTGATAAAATGCATAACAGATGTCCAACACAGGTCTAAGACAGTTCAATGCCTTAAATTCTTCATTTAAAACATTTTGAAGGAGTCAAGAGTTAAACTTACAAATGTAGTACTGCATATAAGTAGTTTAAATATAGATTCATCCAATTTTATTTAATCAATTAACTGACAGAGAAAATTTTAAAAAACAGCCATCGCAACTTCACAGAGTCACACGTGTTGTCTTTGTGTTGCGTGAAACAGTCCAAAACTACAAGGTGCTCAGTTTACAATTAAATAAAGCAGAATAGAGCAGCACATTTATGAGGCCAGAAGCAGCGACTGCTCAGCATTTTTGCTCAAAAATCAATATTTTATCACTTTGTTGAAAGTTAATTTTCATTGATTAATTGACTAATCGGTTCTAAATGTAGGTCCACATATGGAGGTGTACACAAAGGGCTCTGGGTTTATAGAGCATCAAAACTAAGTTACTGCTGTAGGAATCTAATACTTTTGTGACTGAGATTATTTTAAATTTCTGACATAATGTTGAAAATGATGATACTAAGGTGTCAGAAACACAGATCTGAGAGTAAATTACTTCAAGGTTTGACATTTGAGGAAATTTTGTTGAATAAGTACAAAAACAATAAGTGCAGGGAAGATATTAGAAATTATTTTTACTATAAATTAATCTGCAATTCTTCAACAATTTCCCTGAGGTTTGCACCAAAGGGATCAATAAAGTTCTATTCTATTCTATTCAGTGTCCATCGCATCTTCATAAAATCCAAAGTGGCTTCTTTCAAGTGACAAAAACACATTTTAATTCAGTTTACAATGATGAAAAGAACGAAGCAGTGAATCCTTACATTTCTGGAGTGGGATCAGAAAACGTTCATCATGTTTGTGAAGAAGTTACTTGCAGTAGTTATTCCTTATGGATCTTCAATTGATGGACTAATTGATTAATTGATGAATGTTCCATAAAAAGGAAAGCATCAAAAATCCTCTAAACCTAACTAAAGCAGACCTCCCTTCAAATTTCTTTTCTTTCTTTTTTTTCTTGTCGCAAATACACCACCGCCACATTTCTGCACCTTCACAGCAGAGTTCTGCACTGGGTCGGGTTCTCGCGAGACGTACAAAGGTAAACTACAGATAACTATCTTGCTCAGTCTCTATTCTTTGGGGCGTTCATACAACATTAATTACTCGCAAGAGCACCAGCACCAGGCTTAAGCTCAGATAGTCAGAGGAAGGTTGTCTTGGAGAATAGGGCAGCGACTTACTGGAGAAAAGGTTGACTTATTAGCTGAAGATAACTCAGAACAGATTTTACAACTTAAATAGACATTCACAAAATATTGATGGCCAGCTAATGTTACGTAACACATCAGTAGCTTAAGTTAAGTGGGACCGGTGCCAACTCAGTGTCGCTAACGTGAGTAAACTAACTGATAGCATTAAGCCAACATCTACACGCCATGATGGAACTGCTCACTGCACCTTCAGATGAGCTTGTTCAAATATTTCTCTAAGAAGAGAAAGACACCTGATGGAGATGACGCTAGCCAGGTATCATTAGCCTTTTACTGACTCATAAACGATGATGGTTCGGTAAAAAATAGCGTAATCAGATGTGATGTGAATGTAAATGATCGAATGTTAATGTTTTATGTAATCGTATAAGACCAGTAACCTTAGACAGGGAAGAGTAGTGGCCAGCAGCAGACATTTAATAATATATCATCAGACACAAACTAGAACTAGGGTGTAGGAAATTGAGAGAAACAATGTCATTATTGTTTCTATTTGTAGGTGAAGACTGACTTCATAAACAGGCTGCAGGGGATCACCTAGCAGCATATATGCTGCTGAGCCTCTCGGTGACTTTCTCTTCAACAGAGCCTTAGAACTCTTCTACAAAAAAACCCCAGAAAAAACAATTTTTCTGAGCCTGGGTGCAAACTTTGTCACTGCTTCTACACCCCCATCAAGAAATTATTCATAGTTTTTATTTATTAAATCTTATTATTTAATTTTTATTTGTTTTAATTTTTACATTCAGCCTTTAAAACGTCATTTTCAACCGGCCATTCAATAAATAATCTGCAGTTAAATGTCTTCTGTTTACACCACCACAACTCCCCAGATAGCAGCCCCCGCTGCTGAAAAAAATCTTAGAGGAAACACTGCAAATGATAAATTTTTTGAAAAAATTGTTAAGCCATCCAGATTCTTAAGATGAAACCCTAAAAACAATGCCACATTCACTCAATATATGGCACTTTATGTGTAAAACGTATCTCTGTTCTCTTTATTTTAAAGTTTTATTTCATAAAAGTGTTGTAAATGTGATAATATGAAAGCTGGTGGGGGAGGAAGGAAGCGTTTTCTTCTGGTCGTCTTTCGTTTATTTAGAAGCAGCAGATTCAGACGTTATGATGGCCTATAAACCCAGGGCTGACCTGATAATACATTGACCATTTGGAGCTCATTTGTCAATTACTTGAACAGAAAATAAGTCACCAATCCACAATTTTACATGTGGAGCCTTTTTTTAAGCTGAAAAGCCAAACATTCTTCCAAAGTGTGAGGTTTTTCTTGTTTTAGATCACTGTGTTTTGGACAAAACAAGACAAAGAGAACTTGAAATTAGCATATTTCAACATTTTCTAACCCTTTACAGGCCAAACTGTTAGTTTGATGGATGGCAAATTAATCAATAATGGAATTAAACTTTAGTTTTTGTCCCTAAAAAATTACACATAATAGCATATCAGCAAATAATTCAAATATTCTTATGTTCCTGGTTACAGAGGCTGACAAAACACATTCAGTGAGGTAATGTGAGAATTCAATTAGAACTACTACTAAGTATAACTAGGTTGCTAATTAGTTTTTAATGTCCTAATTAAAATATTAAATATTGTGATGCAGTTTAATGTCACTAATCTGAAAATGCATGACTTTTAGACTGTTGGTCGCACAAAACAAGATGTAGACAACTTGTCATGAACACATTTTTATATTTTCTAAAAATTTACAAACTAAACAAATGGTTGATTAATTGGATAAAGGACGGATTAATCATTAATAGAAATATTTAGCTTTAGCTTTTCAAAGCTGCAATGTGTTAACTCACTATTTGAAATCTGATTCTCTCCCAGTTAAAGTTTATGTATGTCATAATTGAATCAGAATATTGTGACACAGTTTATGTCACAAAAATTTGAATATATCCTAAAAAAAACACATGAAGTTTTAACGTTTCACAGCAAACCTGTGTGAGGTTTAAATACAACATGCAAATACAATATTACATATCTTTCTTATGTCTGAACACTATGATACAACTTTAAATCACTGTAATCTGAATATCTTTGAGTTTTAGCCCGTTGACTGCACAAAACAAGGTACAGAGAACTAATAATGAGCATATTTTTAACATTTTCACAAATCAGAATATTGTGACACATTTTGTATCATTGCTTTGGCAATATCTGAGTTTTGCACAGTTAGTCGCTCAAAACAAGGTGCTGAGAACTTGTAATGAACATATTTTCACTTTTTCCACCAATTTACAAACTAAGCAAATGGTTAGTTGTATTTGATAAAGGACAAATTAGTCAATAATGAAATTAATATTCAGTTTTAGTCCTTCAATGATGCTACAAATTGAGGCATCAATTCTCTATTTAGAGATCCGATTTTTTTCCAGTTAAACTGTACAAGTTTATTTGTCTTAATCAAACCAGTGTTGTGACTCACAAGAATCAGACTATATCTTTAAAAAACACATCAAGGTTTTCAGTCTCACAGTCAACCTGTGTGATAAATGTGATCCCAAATATAACTTCGTATAATTAGGTTGCTGTTAACTCACTATTTGCCATCATTTGATATTAGCTTGTTTTTTTAATACGGAAAATAAGATCGTACAAACTTGAACAATGTTTAAATTACATACGGACATTTTTCAAAATTTTTAGAGTTAACCTACTTCAGGGATCGTGTGCGGTGTCCTTGTAAATATTTTATTAATATTAGAGTTTATTTTTAGTTGGGCTCGTCTCCAGACAAGGTGCCCCATATACAACTTGGTTAGCAACAGCGGCTAATCGGCTAGCCCCTACTTTAACTCACTTCGCCCGGCTCGGCAAGGCTCGGTGAGGCCCAACCGAGCCGTGTGGACCGTGTTCTGGCCGAGTTCGGTGCGTGTCGGTGTGTTTGATCCGACTCTTTTGTTTGTGTTTCTTTATGCGACGCCGCAGTTGGAGTTTCTCCCAGCCGCTAGCCGCTAGCTTGCTAGTTAATACGTGAAGTGGAAGCGGCTTACCTTTCTTTCTCACTGGCATGGTTCGGCTCCGGCTCGGCTCGGGTTCGCTGTGCGTTAGCCGCGTACACTCCCCACACAGGACGGGCTTTATTGATTTTCTCCTCCGCTTTAAAGCCCCGCTGTCACCGCTCCAAGTCGAAGAAAATCCCTCCACGACGACACCAAGTTCCCCTCCGACAAACCTCCGAACTAACTCAGAGTCAGCGGGAAACCGGCGACAATAGCCGAAACGAGACACAGACGGCGGCTCCGGGTCAAATTAAAATCCCACAAAAGCGGCTCCGGTGAGCTACCGACTCCTTTCTGCGCCGCAGAGGCTCCCTGCGCCCGGCGAGCACCGCGCAGGAGGCACGCGGACAGACGGGCTGACCGCGACGGCGACACCCGGCTGCCGAAGCGGGACCCGCCGAGTCAAACTCCGCGTCAACAATAGTTTACGTGCAGGCTGAGCTCCGGGCGGTGCAGGCATGAAGCTCCTGCCGGTAGAGGAGACCGATGCGCTTTAATGCTTTTTCCAGAAATATGAGAAACTTCAAAGTGCAGTCCGGTGGCACATAAAGCCGTCCTCGGTCTGCACCGTGCGTTCGTGTCAACTTCTCCGAGCGTAAATCCCTCCTCTCTTTTCCTTCTGCTTCCTCTCTTTTCTCCTCTTTTCTTCCTCCTCCTCCGCCCTCCTCCAGCACCTCTCCAGGTCGACAAATTCCAAACTTTCCTCCAAAATGGCGCCTCGCAGGGCTGGAAATGTGAACCATGTGATTTCCAAAAAGCCGACCCTCCGACCTGCCGCCCAATCATGCAGCTCACCTCCACTGCCAAGAGGAGGAAGAGGAGGAGGAGAGGAAGGGAAGGTGAAAGAGTGAGCAGGGAAAGTTAAAGAAAGCTGCGAGGAGGAAACGGATGGGGATGAGGAGAAAAGCAACAAGGTACAGACCAAAGACACTACAATAGCATTTAAGATGCAAAGAGTGAGATCACCTGGTTGAACAGCAGCTTCAGCAAGTGTCCAGACACTTCACTGAGCTGTAGGTTAAATTTGACTTTTGTTAATCGAATAATAATTCATTAATATTCATTAATTGCTAATTGTCATTTCTAAGTCATTAATAGTCAGCGGTTTTCAGAAGCCCTTCAGCAGCAGCTTCCAGGTAACTTTTCATGTGATTTAAACACCTCATCTATCATCAGTGCCTACGCACAGATATGTGCGTAGAGCGTGCATACGAACATTCCTACACAAATTATGGAATTGATCAACTTGTACTTATACTTAGGACTGTGTGTAAATATACGCACATCTCTGATCGTGCGTACATACATAATCTAGCAGTAGAATAGTAAACTGCAAATAGAAAGTATTCGAGGAGTTTGACCACCGGCATATTCCAGCGTGAGGTTGGAGACATATGCGGCATTTCTCAGCCATCACTGACCAGGATCAGTGTTGGATGCCATAACTTCACAGCCAACATCCAGTGTCCTTACAGCCATCAGCAACGAGCCCAAATCATATGGGGACTTCATGCCATCGCTGGATTCCCAAACATTAGTGGAGCCACTGACTGCACCCACATCGCAAGCGCTGCATACACAGAAACGCTCTGCAAAAAGAAAACACTGCATATCCACTCACACAACGGAAGTGCCCCACAATGGAAGCGCCCCAGGCCTCTAGGGGCAGTAGTGAGCTTTTCACCTGAGAGGCATACAAAGATGAGCAAGGCAACCCTGTTAGCGTCCTGGCACAGCCTCGCAGGAGACCCAGAAGAGATCCGTCCTACAGGGTCTGTAATGTTTTTGTGTGTACAGTATATTATTATGTGTAGCAGGACACAGATCTCTTCCGAGTCTACGGCAAGGCGGCGTGCCGACGCTAACGGGGTTGCCTTAGCAATGAGCACAAATTTCCCTCAAACACTACTGGTGTAATAAAAACACAAAAAATGCCACTATACAATGTACTGTCCGGTCGCCGTTTCCCTGGGGCACTTCTGTTGTGTGAGTGGATATGCAGTGTTTTCTTTTTGTAACGTATTTCTGTGTTTGCAGTGTTTTGTTTTTGCAGCACGAAACGCACGCAGAAACTGTTTATGCAACGCATTCATGTATATGCACGTTGTTTGCACCCGTTTTCCACCATAACGTAGAAATAGTTTGCGATGTATATTTGTTGCTATAGCCCTGTGATAGACTAGCGACCTGTCCAGGGTGTCCCCTGTCTTCACCCTAAGTCAGCTGGGATAGGCTCCAGCCCTCCGCGACTCTAGTGTGGATTAAGCGGTGTGTAGATAATGGATGGATGGATTTGTTGCTATCAAACGTTGGTACGACTCATTCATTGAGCAGAACAGCTCTGTGGGTGCGTCTCCAAGCAGGAGCTGTTGAAGATGGCTGGCTTATTGGTGAGTCTTACAAAGTGCGGAAATGTTTTAGCTGGACTTAGTATGGTTATTAAAACATTTCATCTGTAGGTGATCAGTGTTATCCACCGGGTGAACGTTCAGTATTAATTTGTCCTACAGTTGTAGTCATTTCTCTTTTATGGGCTGTGATGCGTTTTTTTGTCACTGAGCTTAACATAAAACCTGTTTTTACAAATTTCTGACAGCGATCTGTCCTCTGACACAACAGAAATAACTGCAGTGGTTATCTTGTCCGATGCTGCATTTTTTCTTTCAGCACTTATCCCAACATTTAATGCACCAAACAATCGTTTCTGGTTTGCTTCAACCTCGGTGAGAAGTACCTCGATCTCAATTTCAGAAAAGTTCCTGTTTTTCGCCCTTTTTCCCACGATGACGACAGGTGAGGAAAAAATAAAACTTCACTTGCTTTATAAAGAGGTATGTTGTTGCCATATATGGTGATTTGGAGGCGTTTCTGAAGGCAACATGCACAAGCACGAAGGTTAAGAAGAAGTGGGATTTATCAACACTGATGACTTAATGATGTGCGTACGACCCAATAAGCATGTTTGATAACTACAGATTCTTTTGTAATAAATGAGGCCCCTGGATTTTTGCCAACCATCCTCAGTTCCTCCCAGGAGCAGCTGACAGTCAGAAGTCTATTTGGAGTCACTCAGATGTTGGCTGGGATTCTTGCTTCGGCCTGATTCAGATGTTACCATCGTCAGTCCTGAGCTCCTCCACCTGATCATCTGTTGTCGTAGCTCAACCAAGAATCTTTGGTGCCTAAAACTAACCAAGTACTTTTGGTGCATAAACTAAGCCACATAGTTCCAGTGCCATAACTTAACCAAGGAGTTCTAATGCCTTAACAAAGCCAAATAGATTTGACGCCTAACTGTAGCCAAGTAGTTTTTATGCCTAAACCTCATCAACTATTTTTGGTAGCTAAACTTGACCAAGTAGTTATGGTGTCTAAACTTAACCAGGAAGTTTCGGTACAAAAACTTAACCAAATAGTTCTGGTTTCATCATTTATCTGAATAGCTTTGGTGGCTGAATTTAACAAAGTAGTTTTTGTGCCTCAACTTCCATCCATCCATTATCTATACACCGCTTAATCCTTACTAGGGTCGCGGGGGGCTGGAGCCTATCCCAGCTGACTCAGGGCAAAGGCAGGGGACACTCTGGACAGGTCGTCAGTCTATCACAGGGCTACACTTTGAGACAGACAACCAAGCACACTCACATTCACACCTACAGACAATTTAGAATCACCAATTAACCTCAACATGTTTTTGGACCTTGTGAGAGGAAGCTGGAGAACCCGGAGAGAACCCATGCTACACGGGGAGAGCATGCAAACTCCACACAGAAAGATCCCGGTGCCCCCACCGGAACGCAATCCGGCGACCTTCTTGCTGCAAGGTAGCAATGCTAACCACTGAGCCACCTTGCAGCCCGTGCCTCAACTTGATTTACTATTTTTGGTATCTAAACTTAACCAAGTGAGTTTGGTGCCATATCCTAACCAAATAGCTTTCAGGTCTTGACTGAACCAAGTAGTTCAAACTCCTAAACTTAAAGTAGTTTTAGTGCCTCAACTTAATTGAATGTTTTTGGTACCTAAACTTAACCAAGTGGTTTTAGTTCAACAACTTAACCAAATAGTTCTGGTTCCATAATTGTGGCGCCTAAACTTAACCAAGGAGTTTTTCTGCCGAAACCTATACAGCTATTTTTGGTACATAAACTTAACAAGATAGTTTTGGTGCTTCATCTTAATTTTTTTGTGTGTCTGAATCTAATTAAGCACTTTTGGTGCAATCATTTAACTAGACGTCGACTGAAAGCACAAGCAAACAGCGAGTGAACAGCAAGTTAAAGTAGAACTGAAGTCATAAACAATACTATAAATAAAACCATAAATGGCAACATTTATGTTTAATATTGTACTTTTCTTTAATGGACGGGTATGAATAAATTTGAGGACAACTGTATGTTGATTATTTGAATCTAATCGACATACTAATCAGAGCTCCCTGCCGCATAATAGTAAAAATGTAAATTTGAGGCTTTGGTGAAGGTCAGAGGTCGAGCTGTGAACCCGACTGAAGTACAAATCCGTCCCTGAGGATGAAACACCGTCCCTCCTCCTCCTCTTCATCGCTGAGTCTCTCATGTGCTGATGCAAACCACTCGACGCTCTGGCCCAGATTAAAGCGAGCAGCTCCGGTGAAAGGAGGAGGCCTTTATTTTTAGACGGTCATGTTTAATGAATGACCCTTGTCGGTTTGAAGCATAGAGGAGGCGGTCCGCTTTGCTCTCACGCCATCCGTCAGGCGATCGAACCGAGCTGAAAGGTGATGGACGCTGCGGCGACGTGAGTCACAGGTGCTGCTGATCTGCATGAAACTTGTTTCTGCATTCAGACTCTGAAGGAAAAGAGACGAGCAGCAAAACAACATGATTTCGCCCCACTGACAGCAGAGACAACCTCAGAGGAGCAAGATGCACAGCTGAAAACATGTGTCTTTGTGGGGTTTTGTGCATCTTTGTGATTGTTTTGTGCGTCTTTATTGCTGTTCTGTGTCTGGGTTATTTAGTTATTTATTTAGAGTATCTTCTGGTTTATTTAATGTCCTTGTGTGGTTGTTTTGTATATCTGTGTTGTTGTTCTGTGTTTTCATTGACTTTATTTGAGTTTTTGTGTGTTTTTCTGGTAATTTTGAATATTCTTTGCATCATTCCATGTCTCTTTGTGATGGTTTTGTGTGTGTTTATTGTTGTTTTGTGTGTTTTTAACACCTTTATATTTGTTCTTTGTGTTTTTATATTCATTTTGAATATCCTGTGGTGCATTTCGTGTCTTTTTATGGTCATGTTTCGTATCTCTATTGTTGTCGTGTTTATTTTTGTGTCTTTATATTAATCCTGAATATTCTGTGGGTCATTTCGTGTCTCTTTGTGGTGGTTTTGTGTATCTATGTTGTTGTTTTGTGTGTTTTCATTGGCTTTATGTGAGTTTCTGTGTGTTTTTATAGTTATTTTGAATTCATGTCCCTTTGTGTTCGTCTTTATTATTGCTTCATGTAGTTTTATTGGTGTGGCTTGAGTTTTTTAATTTCCATTTTTATGGTAATTTTGTGCAACTTTCTCTTTGTGGTAATTTTGTGTCTCTCTAGTTAGTTTGTGTATTTTAAGCTGAGTTTTGTGAGGTTTTGGGGGGGGGGTTATGTGAGTTTTTTGTGTTTTTATACTCA